GGGCCGGCCGCGCCCTCGGTGCGGGATGGACTTCAGGCACCCGCTGGAGCTCTTCCCCGGCTGCAGCGTGGCCCTCCTCCTCTTCAACCACGTGAAAAACGCCGCTGCTCTGAGAAAAAAAGCCATGGAAGGGTCCATTGAAGGAGCATTAATAAACCCTGCAATGGTGAGTGAACGCTTGTGTCGTCCTGTTCGTACTGCATTATAGCTTTGAAGGCAGCGTGGAAATCCTCCTCTGCAGGAACGACCAGCGCTTGTAATCCCCGTCACACAACTTGTTACACACGTACTTTGCTTTCTCTGCACAAACACCCCTCCTGTGATTTCATTGTAAGTGTAAGGGTTCATCAGTGTAAAAGAGCGAGCCTTGGCAGGACTGGCCACAACAATTGTCTTGATTCACTTCGCAGCCTACTTGGTGGAGCTATTTAAATAGAATCATAGAATCGTTTAGGTTGGAAAAGACCCTTAAGATCATCCAGTCCAACCATTAACCTACACTACCAAGTCCACACTAAACCAATCAAGGGTAGACTAGACTAAACCATGTCCCAAAGTGCCACATCCACACGTTTTTTGAACACTTCCAGGGATGGGGACTCCACCACCTCTCTGGGCAGCCTGTTCCAATTCTTGACCACCCTTTCCGTAAAGAAATTTTTCCTAATTTCCAACCTAAACCTCCCCTGGCGCAGCTTGAGCCCATTTCCTCTCGTCCTGTCACTAACTACTTGGGAGAAGAGACCAACACCCACCTCACTACAACCTCCTTTCATAAGTCTACTTCCATCTGTAAAATCTAGTACGAACTGTTTAATACTCTGTCAAAAATCACCACTGTTTGGAGCCTTTGTTCTCATTTAAACCCATAAGTAGTTTCTGAATCTAGTCTTTTTTTTGTTAAAATTAGCAAAGCAGCAGTTAGGGAAGAGGAAAAAAAAAGAATGAAATCTGGCAATTTACTGACAGAAGATTTGTTAATATGATTCTTTTTTCAAAAGATTTCAGTAACCTGATGGAGAGAGTGTAATCTTTATTTTTACGTCAAGTATTACCCCACTCAGTAAATAATCACATTGACTTTAGAAGAGCAAGAATTGCTAAAATAACTTGCAGAATACTGTATTGCTGACTTCTATGATTGCAGACTTAGGCTATCAGAATTATGTGGTCAGGATTTTTTCACAGTTGAAAACAGTATGTTAAATTTCTGTTTAATTTCTTCTGTTGTGTTTTACAGATTGTAGATCCTTTTCAAATTCTTGTGGCAGCCAACAAAGCAGTTCATCTACACAAGATAGGTAAAATGAAGACCAGAAGTCTCTATGCAGAAATTATTTTCAGCCTTTCACCAAACAACAATGTAAGATTTACTGAACAAATGTCTTTTTTTTGCCAGAGAAGCTTGCTAAGATCCATGCAGCCAAACTAAATATAGGTATTCGCTTAACTGTTTACCTGGCTACTAATAGAAGTTACTGTTATTTTTAATAACACTAATATGCTGTTATCTCTTGTAGCTTGTCAGAATTCCATTAACGCAGAACGTGTGTCAATTTACACTCTTGGTTTATTTGACCCAGTAACTGAAAAGGTTACTTATATGTAGTGAGAAAGTGACTCATAACATTTTGGTATTTTTCATGTTTTCTTAGATTTCAGATGCATTTAAAAAGTTTGGAATTTCAGACAGTGACACAGCAGTACTCATTGTTCTGATTATGGACAGAGAAAAAACTGTCAATCTGGAAGATATAGCATCTCAGGTAGAAGGCCAACAGGTTTCTCTAGATGAACTTCCCCAACTAACAGACACTGACAAAGTTAAGAAGGTATGTAACCAAAAGAGATGACTGGCATAGAGAAAACAGATAATTTATTTAGTTGTCTGATTAAATATCAATGGACATAATTAACTTAGGGTTTGTATTTCTTTAGCACAACTGGAAACTTGTCTTAAGTGGAGCTTGCTTATTTCTTTCTTATAATTCTTTTCCTCGAAAAAAGATCTAGTTGTCACACCCTGACATCACAGATTTTGAGTCATCAAAGTCTTAACATTGTCAGGAAGTTGGAACATAAAAATAAATTCCAGATTGCTGACTGCCATTCAGGCACTTTTAATTCCTGTTTTCTCAGGCAAATACCCATTTAATTAAAAACAAATTTTCACTCCTGAACAGTTTCATAATCTTAAGCACATATATAGTCCCAGCATGGGCAGCTGAAATAAAAACGTGTTGATTAGCTACTAGGAGCTGTGTTAGGGCATGTGTGCTCTTAACAGATTACATGCTAGACAGGTATCTTGAAGCATATGTATTCCACTTGATGAAATTCAGGTAGCCTGAATAATCTTGATCATGTCTGTCAAAGTAACGATGGGAGACATATGAATAAAATTGGACAAATCATTATAACATGTAGAGCTAAAAGTGCTGCGCTCATTCAGTTTCTTAGCTTTCGTTTGTCTCTTGCAGTTTCAGAATTTGCTTGGTTCCTCAGTCCCAATTTTGTCTTGCAGGCAAGACAAGATAGGAATTTCTAATGTAAAAAGTAGGGGAAATTTTTCTTGTTATGTATATACAACTACCTGATCCCAAGTAACAAGTGATAGGACAAGAGCAAATGGCCTCAAGTTGCTCCGGGGGAGGTTTAGATTGGGTATTAGGAAAAATTTCTTCACCGAAAGGGTTGTCAAGCAGTGGAACAGGCTGCCCAGGGAAGGGGTTGAGTCCCCATCCCTGGAGGTATTTAAAAGTCATGTAGATGTGGTGCTTAGGGACGTGGTTTAGTGGTGGCCTTGGCACTGTTAGGTTAGTGGTTGGACTTGGTGATCTTAAAGGTCTTTTCCAACCTAAATGATTCTATGATTTTATGAATCTGTTTTTTTAGCAGACATGTGATCAATTTTTTTTCCCTTATACAGCTTTCATGTTGTTCTTTTTTTCTGCAGATGTACAAAGTTACTCCGCAGGAAGAAAAAATCGGCACCTTATTGGATAGTATTGTTTGCCGAATGTCAACAAAAGATGTTTTATGAAAATGTGGAAATAAATTTTTTTTTAAAGAAAAAGAGGGCTTTTTAAGATGTAAAAACGCTTCATTGCAATTTGTTCTGCATTTCAGAGGAAGTGGTGTAGTACTGAGTAGTTTGATGACATCTGAGCTTTAACCATAAATGAGCACGCTTGGATATCGGGGTAATCTGAGCTGTATTCTAATCACAGAGAGCAATCCTGCCATGCAAAACAGAATTTGCCGTTGGCATTTCTGTCCATTTTCTTAACGAGAAAAATAAAATCACTTTTGCTGATACTTTCAGTTGATCATAAACAGAATGCTTGGAAATCTGTATTTACTTCTCTCTTTCATCAAATGTGTTGCTAGTCCCAGATAGGATTCAAACGTTGTAAATAATTTTTATTAATCCTATCCTGATCTGGGTTTTTTTGGCACCCCTGACATGATATTCTTCTAATGATACTACTGCCAGAAGAGGTGTCTCTGCGGCATGAAGTATTGCTGATGGACTAGAAAAAGCAAAGTTTCCATAAACTATCAGCAGCACCTCCCTCTTTCTGCCAATGGGACAGAGTCGCTGCCCACCCTTTGGGCACAGGAAGGGGCGGGAGGGGCACCGTGGCACCCAGGGGTGGGACAGTGTGGAGCAGGGCGTCAGAGGTGTGCAGAACAGTGAATAGGGTCGGTATGGATGACGCTGTGGTGGTGGTAGCAGCTGACAATCTGATGTCATCAGATGCAGCATACTGCTGAGGAACTGGTGTGTTGCTGTGGCACCTTAGCGTTGGCGTTAAAGGATAACGAGAGGTGCTTTTACTTCAGAACTCTGAATTATGCATGGTGATGCTGACTTCTAGGGTCTGGTTCCAGGTGCAGAATTCACAGAGGAATTTGCCCCATAAATTTATTCACTTAAATTGTCAATATATCTTACGTAGGATTCTGAAAGGATCGTTGAACTCGTTTTGTTGAACCAGTGTTTGGAAAGGCCATCAAAGGGAACTAAAAAGAATATTGATTTCCAATAGTCACCAGGTCCAACAGCCCTGCCTGAGTATCGTTTAATCACATGCAGGCATCCCGTTTCAGAAAAATTACTGTCCTAATTAGAGGTAGAAATCCCTATGGTTTGTTACTGTTATGCTGTATTGTTTTTCCTGGATGTGTATAAAGCTGTATAGCTGTCTATGTTTTGGGGTTTTTTCCCCTAATGTTCTCTGAGGTATTACGATTTGTGTACTTACAAGATATTTGGAAGAGTATGCCCCAGATTTTTACACACAGTGTTTGGGAGCACAAAATATATTTTGGGGCAGAGGCAAGTCGGAGTTAGAGTTGAAATGTTATCAACAACAGTAAACAGACCAGCAAACTGACATAGACCTATTATTGCCTGTGTTTCTGTATTTAATATGGAAATCCCTAGCTTCTGTTCTGCATTTTTTGGTTAATTCTTCCCTCAATTAAAACACAGTAGTACAAATACCGTCCTTTTCTTACCAACCAAATCAATGGCAAAATACTTACCAAGTACCAAGGGAATTACAAGGTTTATCAAAAGAAATGATTCAGGAGAAATGGCTGTGCTGATTTCTTGATTTAAAGATGGTTTTACAGAATGTATCATCCTCTAAAGGGAAATGTGAGGCAGCAGTAAAAATGGGAGCTTGGAAGAGCTTGAGTCTTTTGAAATAAAACATGCGTAACGTCAGCATGTGAGAATGACCATGGAAAAGAAGATACTTGTTTCCTTTTCTGACAGGCCAATTGGTGCATGGAATATATCATCAGATTTGCTAGCTGAACTGCTGACATTGGTTTTGGTATCTTAAAATAACAGCAGACAGACACGCTTAAACCACAGCCTTTTTTGAACATCAGCCTGGTCTGTTTAGTATAGGAGAAATACTAATACAAAGATCACTGCATAATGATACACAAGTTCCAAACTTGGGTTCCCAGTTTCTAATTCTTGTCAGTGTATTCCATTGGTGTAGAAACAGTAAATAGTTTGTTACTGTTAACATGAGTTAAATTATGAAATTGTGATTTACCGAATGAGCTATTTTTGTGGGTCGATTTACTGGAAATGATTTGGGAGCTGAAGCCTCCATAGTTATCATTCAGTCAGGCAGATGATTTGGGTGTGTTGGCAGTGAAGACTATGCCATTGCCCTGCAAGACCACAGTTTTCCCCTAGTCCTAGTTGCATTATCTAAGTTAAACAAATTGTTTACAAAAACTGGTAATAAATGTAGATTTTGTTGATCCTGCAAAGTTACGCTTGTCTTTCTGAACGCATTAAAAATTAGTCAATTTGGATCTATAATGTTACTGTTAAGTCAGCCACTGCTATTTTCCAGCAAAGCAAAAGTTTAAGGAAAAAAGAGGTTTTCCAAAACATTTAATGTTCTGCTGCTGTCTCCTCTGAACTTTCATATCTCGTCTTCTCTATCACAAGGTGAAAGAAAGGAAGCTGAAGCATTTTCAATACCTTATTTGGATCTCCAGTGCTTCAGAGGCAGGATTATACCTGCCTCTTCTTAAATATAAATTTAAGAGCTAAATCCGAAAGTATGATGTGTGGTCAGTTGTTCTAGTTTTTCTTTTTCTTTAGGTGGGGTGGTTGTTGTTTGGTTGGGTCTTTTTGCCTGTGCTGCCTTTTTAATGTTGTGTATATGACACAAATTGAGCGAAAAGAGCAGCCCGTGCTTCCAGAAGGTGATGACTAAAACCTCGTCCACCACAGAACTCACTTTCCTGCTTGAATGCTTTGCAGTACATGAGTTTTGGGGGGGGGGGGGGGGAAGATGACAGGGCAAGCAAGAAACAGCCTGTACAAAGCCATCTTTTACAATGACTTGGTATATGCGGTAAAGCCAGCAGGCTATTGCTGTTTCAGTTAAAGACGGTTCCCGAGCTTTCAGCCTGGGTAGATCTGATGTAAGTCCAAAGTGCTGGCCTGTCCATCACGTAGCAGGTATACCTCTGGGCATGCAGCAGCCATGCGGACGTGTACTCAAGGAAAACTTGCCGGCCCTGTCATGACGGAGGTAGTTGTCCTTGCCTCAGGAGGATGTCCAGTAGCACACCAGGATTTGCCAGCAGCCTTCACCTGCGGGCTGGTGCATGTGTGCGGGATCAGATGTGTGCCCGTCTCATGGTTGGGGGAGTGTATATTTTGGCACATGGCAAATCTCGCAGTGATGTGACAGGGACAGTCAGAGAATGCAGATTCACTGATCTGGCAGCTCAATTTACGAGCTGCAGCCTGTGCACCTCTGAACTGTGTGTTTGATATTAGTAAAACGCATTTCTAAAAGCGACATAGGTTTGAACAAATAGCCAATCTGACTTACAAAACCTGAAGCAAAGGACGAATCCATGTCAGCCATTGGTGACCAGTTCCAGGAGTGAATTCCCCTCGCCGTTAAGTGTGCCCCGCTCCCCAGCTCTGTTCACTGGCTTCCTCTCTTCTGTCATCCTGAGATGCTTTTACCTGTCTGCTTTTACTTCCAAAGCCCTTCACAGTTCACATCCGTCTCCTATAGCCTAAGCTTACCCTCTTGCCTTGTTGTGTTTTCAAAGTAGCAGCTTCAGGCCTCCTTCTGTGCCTGCTTCAGCTAGGGGAACCTCCCTTCATCATTTTCAAAATAAATGATTGTTCAGTACTACTCTGTGACCCGTTGTCCAAACTCCCTCTCTCCTGCAAAAGCCTTGATGACAGTAAGCTTCCAGCGCACTGAGGCCATTACCTGTCACGCAACCCCAATCGCCTGGGGTTTTTCCTACTACTCAATGTATGTAGGTCAGAATGCCTAAATCCCTCTCTCTTCTCCTGTACTTCAATGGCACATTTACAGGGGAGGGACCATCCTTTTGCTTTCACTTGTAGTATTATTCATGCTATATGGTTTATGACTGGGGTCCCTATGTCCTAGGACAATGTATTTAATGTGCTAATCATCTATTTTTTTATTATTCTTTTGTGTGCTGTTCTTCAGAGAGCATCATCGAAGCTTTGCTTCCGTGTTAAAGCATGATGAGGTGGTACCTTAGCAAGGGTGTTTGCCTGAGTAGGGTAACACTGGCGGAGTGCTGCATAGGTACAGGAACACTGATTCCGGCACCCACGCCCGCCCGCTGAGAGCTGACATGGGTGTCTCTGGTGCTACACTGTGCTTTGTAAGCGCTCCTTGAGGTAGGCCATGTAGGTCTTCTCAGAAACGTTTCAGTTTACGTACCCCTCCTGATTATGGATGGATACCAAAATAGGGTACACAATACTTGTAAGAATTGTGTTGTCTACAGGTACTAGGTAATTACAAATGTGTATCTATCTGTTCCTAAGTATTCAAAATGTCTCGCAGCTCTTCTTTTCTTATTAGGATACTGTTTGTTAGTTTAGACAATGCTGAAATTCGGGGTTTAAGCTGAGTTTAACCTCCAAAAGTTTGGACTATTGTTCCCAACAGCCACTGCCCCTCAGAGCTGCCAGTCCATTAACCTGAGCTCATCAGGAGTAGGCAACCATACAATTAACAAAGAGTTCAGCAGAGACTGCCAATTGGCTGTATTTCCAGAAAGCTTGCAGGTTTTCTGAGTGGAGTTACTTCCCTGAAAAAGTGGGAGTATGGAATGTCCCCATCAAGGATGGGCTGGTGTATGTCAAGGTTGGTACTGACATGAGGTATTAATGAATTATGGAAAAGTAAGCAGTGGTTGAATTAAATATATTGGTACAAGATTGAAGACTGAACCAGTTTGTCCTGCAACAAAGGATGCTTACAAATACAGTTTATTTCATGGTTTTATTCCTGAGTTTACAAAGGCATTACCATAAGTTAAAAATATGCAGACGCAAGTCCCATATAAACTCTCTTCAGCAACGGAGATGAGAATTTGAGACTTGTTCAGAGATCTTCCTTTGCCTGCAGGATAGCTGGTTTTATTGATTTTTTTTTCCCCTATGTTGTTGTGACATGGCAGATTATTTGCCTGCTTATAGTGTATGTTTTACCATCGATTGGGACAAGTAGTCTTAGCA